TTTTAAAGCAGGGATCTGGTCATCTGGACAATGATGACTTCCCAGCTTGGCTGCTATATAACCTTGGGCAAACATTTAACTTCTCTGTGCCTCATGTTGCCCACTTATAAAATCTGGGAGCAAAATACTATTCACAAGATTTGCTGTGAGGATAAATCTTTGCAAAGTGTTTTGAGATAATCGGATGGAAGGAACACGTGCAAAGAATGTTCATGACTAATATCCGCGGTTCAACTTTCCACGACTAATGTGGAGGCTCAATTTTGAAAATTACAACCTGGATCTCAAGCTGGACATCTTTAGATGCTGTTACAGCAAGCTTGTGTGTGCAGTGCTGAAAATCCAGACCAAAATATTAAGACACATTTATAACAGATATATGATCAACCTGGCGTGGGACTGTGTTGTTTTCCCATGAAAAAATGAGTGTATTCAAAACTTTCTAAAGACAAAAGGAATCATACTGGCTCTTTGCTCTTTTTCAGTTCAGTCATTACTGTAGAACAGGTTTCAGAGGCATAGCCGTGTTAGTCTGTATCAGCAAAAACAATGAGGAGGCACCTTAGAGACTAACAAATTGATTTGGGCATAAGCTTTCGTGGGATAGCCCATGAAAGCTTATGCCCAAATAAATTTGTTAATCACTAAGGTGCCACAAGGACTCTTTGTTGTTTTTACTGCAGAACAGGATTTTATGATGTGTTCAGTCATTCTAGTGTATTTTGTCCTCTCTGCACAAATGTAACTCTTACTCATATTACTTAACATTTGTACATCAAGGGGAGAATCATCAGCCCATAGGTTGTATTTGAACAGTTCCATAAATGATACATTTATCTTCTACTACGCTGCACATACATTTGTATAGCTTCCCTCTTTTGAATGAGATCCAAAACGAAGATGAGATGCAATCACTTGTACTCATTAAAAATTCCATGGTAATTATGAAGGCACAATGGCCAATTAGACATCTAATAACCTGCCATTGTCATAAACGTTGCTTACCAGTACAGCATATCACTGTATAATTCTTTACTTATAGAAGACTGAGTCAAACCTAACTTCTTTAGACAGAAATGTTTCCCCTCTTCTTGATAAAACAGAGTAGTGTTTTTGCAGATAACTATGGATTGCATGTTAAAAATTAAGATTGTATGTTACAAAGTATCATGTTAGGAACTAATAAACAGGAATAGAGCATGCTTTAAACAGAGATTGTAGCAGATGCAGATATACATTCCATATACATTCTCACAAAAATGAGATACCATTAAATAAAATACAGCAGAGGTAATAATTTAGTACTTACATTAACTTTCATCTTGTCTTTTCTCTATTATTCCATTACCTAAATGAGCACAATACACTCTCCCCTTCTCAAGTGAAGTTCTTCAGCTCAGACTGAAGTACGGTAAGGTTTGGCTCGAAGCCTGGGTATTAGACTTTCAGCCTACACCTCCCAGTGCTGGACTTGCTGTGAACCCTGCCGAGGGTGAAGTGAACAGCCACTGGGAATGAATGGAACTAATTACATAGTAAATTCTCTCTAACGTTACATGGCCTGCAGCTATGTCCATGCAAAAGAAGGAATGGCACTCGGTCAAGCCTCCAGGAAGAAAAGGCAGAAACCAAAATAGGAATTCTGACGTTGTAGTGCTATAAGAAGGTTCATGTGGACACTGCAGTGAAGCTAAAACAGATTAGTATATTTGGGGGCTTTTTCCCCAAGTCAGTATCAGTTCTTCTTCCTCCTCACTTTATATTTAAAAATACTTTGATTTTGAATTTTTCATGTTCCGGTCACTAGAAATGTCATGGCTCAGCAAGACCTTTACAGCTATATGAATCACTGCAGAAAAACCACATATTTTAAAGGCAGAGAATCTGAGAGAACAATGCTGAACAGTTCATGTTTAACATCTTGTGTTTTGTACAATTTTCAAAGGTTCCTTTATACAGAAGAGATCTTGCCTCCATTATTTTCCTTCCTCTTTCTACAATGAGTACGTTCCCTTTTTCTCCCCGAAACACTTTTATAATGAAAAACTGTGCCTGTGTCTTGTAGGGGGCAACAGTTGGATTTTTTTTTATTTTTTTCCTCTAAATTTAACCTTTTGCACTTGGAGTGGACTTGGTAATGCAGAAACATCCAACCAACTTTTCTAGTCATGCAAAATGTCTGGTAAAATGAAGCTCACTTGCAACAAATTCTGATCCTTTTTAGGTGACAGGCATTGGGATTATCAGTTGTGAAAGTGCAAGAAGAGAATTCAGCTCAGAGAAATTGCACAAATGTACCACCATAGACCATAGAATTTTTTAAAATATATTTTAGGAACAACAATGCAATCTGTTGCCACAGAGCTGCCTTAAAGGTGTAATAACTGACCACAAGACGACGACTCTGCTGAAGGAACCTTCAATAGCATATCGCCCGCTCAAGGCCTACGCTACTCCTCAGTTCCCTCCTATACTAGAGGGTCAGGTGATGTAAGGTAGAGAAAGAGAGAATGGCTCCAGATTCCATAACCCACATCTGCCTCTCGTTACCTAAAGTGCTTGGCAAGTAGTGTAAGTTAGGTTATTCTAACTTGCTGCTGGTGGCTGACTGGCTAGGGGCTGACAACCCAGGCTCCAGGACCACAAAGATAGCTTAAAATCCTTGCACAACACACAGCAGAGTCTGCGAGGTTGCTGTGGTTGCAAGGTCAGAGTATGCAAATAAAATTCTAAGTGCTAGGTCAGGGGTTCTCAAACTGGGGGTCGGGACCCCTCAGGGGGTCACAAGTTGCATGGGGGGTTGTGAGCTGTCCACCCCAAGCCCTGCTTTGCCTCCAGCATTTATAATGGTGTTAAATATATAAAAAAGTGTTTTTAATTTATAAGGGGGGTCTCACTCAGAGGCTTGCTATGTGAAAGGGGTCACCAGTGCAAAAGTTTGAGAACCACTACGCTAGGTGTTCTCCTTTGCAAGCTTGATCACTTACTTACAAGTATGCAATTAAAAAAAGCGTGGGCACATACTGAGCATTTCTTAAGGAGAGAAATTTAAGAGTAAACTTAAGTATGTCTGACAGGAGCTTAGCTATGTGCATCTTTTAGTTCTCACTTCATGCTGCTGCTAGACAGGATCAACTTGGCAGCCACCCACCAGAACTCATTAATATAGGACGGGCCCCTGTGCTCATGCTGTGCTCCCCGCCCAACACTTTTTACTTTGTGTATATGCATATAGGACTCTGCACCTGCAGGGTGTATAATCAGCCCTCAATACATATTCAAAAAAATTAACAAGCTGTCCATTGAGCATGCTAATGCACTGGATTCCTTTACAGAAGCAATTTATCCTGCAAAACGGTGCTGGGGGGGGGGGGCAAAAGTTGCTAATGGTTAGCGGTGGCAGTAATAACCATAGACCCTGGAGCTGGGGGGAGAGGAGGCACCCAGGCCATGGCCCTACCATTGTTTGGTCACATTGGAGGGGTGGGCATAGGGGCTCATGGGCAGGGCAAGTGTCAAGAAGCTGGTGGGGAGGGGGGGCTAAGAGGGGAAAAGGAGGGTCAGACATAGGTGCAAATCTACCTCCCCCGACACTCACACATTGAATAGTGCTCAGGAACCCTTGTTAACACTACTATTTAGTTTTCATCATAATGGGAATTTCTGCACAGCTAAAGCTGACAGCCACTGTGCTGCAGCTATAAAAGGACTCATTTTTTGCCCACTCATCTTGCCAAAGTGTTGCTATCTCAGAGTAAATTATAAAAAAATGATGTAAGGCCATTAAAATGACATTGCCCCAGAGTTGCTGGGATAATAGGAACCAATAAGTCAGTTAGCATTTTGCACCAGAATGGTTTCCTGATTTCTTACCATACTTCATCTCCAGAAGATGTGTATATTTGTATAAGGACAGTGTCAGAATTTACAAGTCAACTAGATACTGCTAAATTCAGTCAGCCACTGCTAAACTATTTTGACATCTGTGCCCAAAATATCATACCTGGAAATTTGCTAAATTGAAAACAAAAGTGTTAGGAGCCAAAGAGAGAGGTATAAGAGAACTTCTTAATATAGGAGTTTCAAAACATAAATGGGTCAAGTTTTCGTCTCACTAATAGAGAGGAAAATGTGTCCTATTGTCTTCTGATGGACTTAACATGGAATAAGAGATGTCAATTTTTTCAAATAGACCTTGACAGAAAACTTTGAACACAATAAATGTTCCATGTAAGTCGCATTGGGTGCTTTTCCTTATATTTCTGGTATCAAACTCCAATCCTCTCCCCCCCCCAATCATATTTACATTATCAAGGTCAAGAACATTGCACTGGGAGCCAAGAACACCAGCATTCTCTTTGACCCTGACACACACACTGTGACTTTTTGCAAGTTATTTATATTGCAGTTGGACCCACATTTTGCTAGGTAGAGTACGAAACGCATAGACAAGTTCCCTACCCTGAAAAGCTTACAAACGGATTTTGTAAGTCTAATAAAAAAACCCCTCAGTAATTTAACTTATTTTTTATCCTGCCTGTAAAATAGGGAACTAACTTATCTACCTTACAAATGTGTTGAGTATTTAGTTAATAATAGCACATTATTATACCATCAAAGAGCTTTATGAGATGGTAATAAGAGAGGTGGTACCTTCAAGATAGAAGCTAGGGCTTACTTAACTTTTGTCAGTGTAATTAATGCTTATAAAATCTCTTAGGTTTCCTTTTACTCAGAGTACCATCCAAGGCGAAATTTCTTCAGACACCAATGACACTGCCACATTCAGGTCTCTAACAGCAGAAATACAGGCAAACATTAGGTACCTTAGCATCCAAACCAAGAACTCCCTTTCCACAATTAGTTGGTAAAGATATAAAACATGTATGATACTACAAGAGTTATTCTGAACTAAAAAAATAAAAATAAAAAAATCACACTTACTTCAGCTCCTAATATTTTAAGTCATTAAATTCTGTTCTCATAAACCATCAACTTACCTTTGCAGCTGTGTTGAGTCTAGTATTTTTATCCATAGCTGTCACTAACCAGCAGAGTCACTTCCAATATTATAAATAATCACTGTATAACCAGTGTCATACAGAGCTGTTTTGCAAAGTCACAATGTGTCAGGAACCATTTCGCAAGAAAAAAAAAAGTCTGACAACTATTGTCCTAAAAGCATGTAGCTATACAAAAGGTTTCCCATAAAAGTCAATTTCTGTGACAGCAGACAAGATTAAAACAAAAACAAAACCCCCGAACAACCGAGAATAACGTCTGAAAAGTAGAGTTTTCCTTGATCTGTCACAGACTTGTTGCAAATAACCACAGATACAAAAAACCCACCCTTCTGCTTTGCTACATGTTCCTGTAGTTCCTAATTTAGAAGCTTGATGGAAGAACAGTTTACTACAAGTGTTTGCATAGCACTTTAATGAAATAACAGACTGCCACAATCCTATGAATTCAGGGATTTTTATCCCACATTTTCCATATCTTGCAAAATTTTCTCATATTTAATACAAAACATTTATTATAGCGGTGTTGTAATAACCTGTAAACTCTGTGGGGTAGGGAATTTGTGCTCTTACATCCCTATAAGGCACCACCAATACTACCATGTGTGTTGTAAGGTACATTTTGTATGAAAGACACTGAAAAATGTAAGCAACTTTGACTCATCTCAGAAGACAAATTGATTCATCCGGTCCCCTGGGATTCCTCTACATTTTAAGAGGAAGAATGGTGGACTATGACGCTCCCATATAATTTACTCTCATCTGCTATCCAGCCACCTGGATTTTTTGTCTAACCATTCAGACTGGCGTCAACTAGGTGCAGCATCAGCACATAAAAAGCGTTGAGTTAAAATGCTTGAAAAGTATCTGTCCAACTAAACAAGCTGAACAGAAATTTTCAGAAATCTTAGGAAAGTAGAATTACTTAAACTGTGCTTTGATTTGTGTTGTCCACGTGGATTCTACTTCTGGTGTGCATGTGCTGTTAAAAATGAGATCCAATTCATTTGGCCAGCAGTGTCTATTGGGGCCACACCTGTGCCCTAGATACTCTGCATTCCTCCCCCCACAGGGCCCCAACTGTTCCTCAATTCCCTTTACTAATACAGAATCCCACTCGTATAAGACGCTGTAGAAGCAGGAAAGGAAGGTGAGTCCCAGCATTCATGTGGACAACACTTCATGAAGAACCAGTTACTGTAGGATAACCCCCCACCCCCCGACTGTACTGTCCCATGGATTCCACTCTTGGTGGCTAACAGTCATCTATTTGTTGGAAGTAGGTAGAAGACCTATTTAAACAATGACTGCAGGACTAAATGGGCATCCAATTTTGAAGGTTCTGCCAAAGAGTAGGGACTTGTAAAGGTCTGGATTGAGCTCCACATTGCTGCCCACAGATTTTTGAGTCACAAACAGGCTACCTAAGCTTTAGTGGAATGAGTTCTAACCCTCACTAACTTAGAACACATTCTGATGTAGTCAAAATCCCACTTAAAAAAAATCTGATAGTTCCCATTTCTTAACCTTTGCAAAGGCCCCAAATGGTCATGTTTGGCTTCAAAATTTGGCCCAAGCCAGACCTCTAAAGGGAAGTACAAAATGTCTCCCAAGAAGTGTTACGTAGCTCTTAGCATGTAAGCTTTTATATAAGGGCTTACCTACATTTTCAGTGCTGTAGCAGCACAAGCGACGGAAGAGCAACCATCAGTGGTTTGAATGGTTTTGTCCCATTAATGCACAGAGTCTCTTATTACATTACATTTGTGAAGTTTAACTTCCCCTGGGGTTGAATGAGATTTCGGAAAAAATTGGGAGCTGAATGGACTAGAATACTGAAACAAATATGGGCAGGAACTTGAGAGTGACCCTATCCTTACAAAATGCCATATATGAGCAGCTGATGTGGGGCCCCCACATCTTTCCTACTTTTTCAGCTGATGTAATGGTTACTAAAGAGGCAGGCTTCATTGGTACATGGTATAGGGGAGACCCATCAACCCTGTTAGAACAAGAGAGGGCGCTCCTCAATCTTGAGAAAAACATGAATCAGGGCCCTAAGGAATCTTGCCACTGTAGGGAAGGAAAAAAGCATGGTGTTGGAAAGGGTGGTCGTGTACGGATATTACTGCTAAACAGACTCACAGAGCTGATAGAAAGTCCATCTTATTCTCCTAGCCCTGAAACAGTCTGCTGATTTAGTAGGTAGGCATGCAGTGGGGCCTTTACTGGCTTCTGGATCTTAAAAGATTAAGTTTATGATTAGAGATGTGTAATGACTCATGTCTTGACTTGTTAGGAGTCAGATGACAATATGGACTTTGGGAGGCTGGGAGCCTGGTGTGGACTAGCTGTCTGTGCGCACCCTGGTGGCAGCTCATTAATGTGCGTTAGTCTAGTCTTTGAAATTGGACCAGATCAAAGCATATTAATGACTGTTAATGTATTCATTAGTAGGATGCAGTTAGTCTATGGCATGGGGGCGCGTGCATGTGAAACTGTGTGTGTACCGATTCACACTCCAATATGCCATGAACTAGTTCATATATACAAACCCTGAGTGATAAGAGACTACCTAAATCAAACAAAGACCAAATGCATGCTATACAAATTACACGCTACCCGACACTTGTAGTCAGGTTCTGGGCCTGATGGGTTCAGGTCAGCTTGCAAGCCTCTATTTGCTTCAAGGTTACAGCAGTTAGTTAAGAAAAAGTCAAATAAAAGTCAGGCACCAGATTTCAAGTCTGAGCTTTAATATCAGAACTAAAACATCATTTGTTGAATTCATCTAAACCTTTTAAAAATGGATGTTCAAATTCTTATGGCACAAAATTCTGGCTCAGAGCTGGACGGCCACTTGGCCAATTTAAAAAAAAAAAAAAGAATACAAAACCAGAGCTTTCACTGCACCGTGCCTGAATCAAAAGTACAACTTAAAGGTTCATTAAAATATCTGGCCAAGTTCTGCTGAGAATTTGTGCAATCCATTCTTAAAGAATTTTTTTTTTTTAATAGGTTTGCACAGATGTAATGGAGAAATTCTACACAGATTGAACAAGATTCACTCAAGTTACTAACATTTTGAAAATTTAGACATGTAAGAGCAAGTTTAAAAGTATCCCCCCAGGAAGGATTAATTGTATTCAAAAATAACAGTTGAGTCTACTTCCACAATTGATGCCATACACACTAATAAGGTCAGTGAGTAAGGGAAAACTACTTCTCAGTACTTTCATCTTTTTTCACCATGTTTGACAAAGTTAAATACAGACACAGCATGGCTCTTGTTTAGGCATCTGTTGGCAGTACACTTAATATAAGATGGTACAATTCATCTAGGTAATCACTGTTTAATAAAACTGTCTTTAGTCTGTGGTTGACCTTCGGTACCAAAATCGAGCTCTGTAGTCATCACTGCAGGTCATGAAACCAGGATTGGTAGGAGAATGAACAATACACCGAACAATGCTGTTATGCCCCAATGACAGAAGATTTCGCCGTTCTGCAGTTCTTGAGTCCCAGCAGCAGAGACTTATGGTCCTTTCATCAGGAAGTAACACATAGTCCTCTGTGTGGTTAAAGACTGCCTGTGTTCTGTGTACTTGTCGTCCACTCAAACCAGCTCCTATAATAGCAGGGATATGATACTCATTAAAGGTGTAAGTAAAAACGTGTAACAGAGTAGCGTTGCTTAGGGGGCAGATTGTCAAAAGCACAAGGAGTGTCTCTTTTAGATATTACTTGCTAAGGACTATCAACAAGGGCCAGCTTTGTGTTCACTGATTAACATTTAGAAGGGTTCTTTGACAAAATTGTGCTCTAACATTTCTCCTCCCACCCTCACTGCAGAAAGGCTATTTGCCAAAACCTCAGTAGTACTAAGGGAAGCAGCAATAGTCGCAGTCCCGAAGAGTGACAATTACGATAGGGAAAATGCCCTTTCACTAAAGCTCATCAAAACTTGCTGAAACTAATACTGGACCATCAGAAGCCAGAGGACTGCAGAAAGAACTGTGAAATGAAGGCACACCTTCATACTATTTTTTAAATCTTTCTGGGCAGTTAAGTCAGGATTTAAAGCGTGATGTAAGTAATAAGAGATGAGTCTGGGAATAAGGATGAAACCATTTATTTATGCTGAATATTTAGCATGGTGGGCAATTTCTACTCAAGAGACTTAAGATTATTTTAACAGGGATGCTGAACTTCTCTTGTGATCTGTCCAAGCTTGCACAGCACCTACCCACTCTTTACCTGACTCAACCAACAGTATTCGTTCCTCATGTGCAGAAGCATTAAATTCAGATGCTCAGTGAAGGTGTATGCTTATTTATAGAGAAAATTCATGATATTACATCTCCCTACATAGTACCTATGCAGAAGTCATAACTATCAGTATTGGCATTAGGCAGTCTAGATGTGTTTTTGCTAATAAAATTTTATAAATTATTCATTTTTTCCTCACTTAAAAAATATGTCAGTGTGATCACTACAAATGACTTTCAATGAGTTCGTTCCAGTAGGAGGGTTTGTTTCAGGGGAGGGGGTGTAGGGGTGAAAGAGAGAAATGGCGCGGGGCACAATACTTTCCTATATAGAGGCTGAAATCTGGCAAGTTCAAAGAGCTGCTTGGAAATAAAAGGGTTTTTCATTTGTTTATTTTTTTTTAACTATGCAATTCCACATTGTGCTAGTCAATAGCACCACAATTTGAGGGTTCAAAAACCATCTTGAGGAAAGAAAATCTATATACATTCCAACAAACAGTTTACCTGTGAAGGAATTCCATATTATTTTAAGTATTCACACACCATTTCATAGAAGAAGTATAGAGAATACTTGAAGCCCTTCCTTCCTAACTGAATCAGTCAACCGAATCAAAAGACCTTCGTAGCAGATAAAGCATTGTGCTCATGCCCTAAGAACACTTCTCCCTCCAGTATTCTTAGTGAGAAACTTAGTAGGTAGCAACTGGTAATTAAAATTGGAAAGAGCACGGCTAATGGAGGAAAGTGCAAGTTCTCACTATCAATATTTATAAATAATATATAAACCATTATCTAGCTAGGCCATTACTCCCACTGTAGAAGTTTAGCATTACCTTTCTTGTAAAAAATAAGATGTTTCAGATATACTATGGCATTCACAGACTTGATTTGATTAGAAAGATTATGTTTCTCTTATTTATCAAGCAAAGTGCTTTACAAACATTTTGTGGCTGTTTATGCTGCACCCTGCTGGTTAAAAATATTACCAGTTTATACTTTGGGCAACAAGATCACTGTTAAATTACTTTTGCAGGTTGAATCAAAGTGTCAGTTTCTGGTTTTGGCAGATCAAACTGCCCTGTCGTCTCTGGAATCTATTTCACAGCAACAAAATCTTCTGTGGCGGTTAGGGAAGACTGAAAGGAGCCGCCAGCCAGCAACTTTTTGCCAAAAAGAGGTCTTGATAGGTCTACTTTTGTTTTCCTTTCTGGAGTAACCCAAGAGAGTTGTATTTGATGATGCTTTCCCTTAACAGACAGCTAATAGCCAGCAAACCAGATAGCAGAATAGTAATACATCATTTGAACAAATGAAGTAATGATGGAAAGTTATCCAAATCCACTTAGATTAGTGTAAGATGGTGACCAACATCTAAAGAAAGTCAAGAATGGAATGAGGCAACTTATCTTATCTGTGACCAAGAATAGAAAGAAAACCTTGGGGAATCCTCGCACAGAAGAAACTTCCAATTAATTTTAGAGGTTACTGCTCAACAGTACAAGGCTATCATGATCTTATGAGTAAACTCCGAAAAATCTTTCACATATTTAACTGAGCACATCAGTCACTGGACTAAGCACTTAAAAATTTTGTACTGCATCAAATATTTATTCCCATCACTAGTTGATTACCGCATGAACAATTTTTGCTTGATAGGTCATCTGCCACATA